CCTGCCTTCACTCCACCCACCTTCGGCTGCGGCTCTCCCAGATACTCGCGAACCTGATTTCACCGCGTCAAGGGGACAGCGGTGACTCTGAGACGCGATGTGGCAGGGAGAGAGGGCGTCGAGCGCAAGGAGGAGCACACAGCCTTCTGCTCCACAAGCGTTCGCTGTGTGACCTTTGCGCGTCACGGCCCCTCTCTGGGCTTCAGCTTCCTCGGGCCCCGGGGTGGGACGCAGTCTGCGCCCCAGGGCTGGTACCCAGCTTGGACCCAGACGCGGACACAGACGAATGGGGAAGGGCTCTGCCTCCAGGCCCTGCACGCCTTTCAAGCGGCTCCCTCCGTGCGGGTTCCCAGCCGCTAAGCGAGCCCCGGGGCCTCCAGAGTCGCACAAGGGGCCTGCCGCGTCCAGGGAAAACCCTGCCGCCCCGTCCGGGCTCCCCCGCCCTACACCCGAGTCGGCTCCGGGTTAAAGCCCGGCCGCCCCACCCCAGCGCCGCACTCCGCACCCTCAGCATCCGCCCCACTCGTGGCCGCCTCATTGGCCGGCGCCCGCTCTGCAGGGCCGCCCCGCAGCCAATCGCGGTCGTGGGGGCGGAGCTGCGGGCTCAGCCGGACGCTCCCAGCAGCTGCGGCCGGACGCGCCTCTGGCCGGAGCTGCCCCGGCCCCTCGGCGGCGCACCCTGACAGGAGAAGCCGGCCATGCAGGAGCCGCTGCTGGGAGCCGAGGGCCCGGACTATGACACCTTCCCCGAGAAGCCGGCCCCGTCACCAGGGGAGACGACGCGGGTCGGGTGAGAGCCTCTAGGCATAGGGTCTGCGGGTGGAGGCTAGGGATGGCCCTGGTACCCTCCAGTGGGCAGCTGGCTCCCATCTTGGGCCTCCACTGACTGTCGGTGAGTGGCCACCAAGGGGCCATCTGGTTCCCTCCTGCCCCAGACACACTAGTCCTATTTAAGGAGCCGGTCCTCCTGAGTGCAGGGCCCAGCCCCCAACTGGCAGAGACAGGGCGACTGAGACCCAGAGGGGGCGAGGGGCTTGCCTAAAGTCACACAGTAAGCCTTGAATGGCAAAGCTGGGGGCAGACACCGAGCCTCCTCTTGTGGGAACAGTGCTCTGCACCTGCGTCTCAGCCACAGCAGGGGGCTGCAAGGGCTGTCCTCATGCCCTGGGGGTTTCCCAAGGGAGCTGGTACTCAGGCCTGGGAGGTGCCAGTCTGACCAGCTCTTGACCCAGCCATCCCCAGCACTGCCCTCTGAGCGGGTAGCCACCGTGCTCAGGACAGGCAGCAGTTAGGTGAGGAGGGACTCAGAGATTCTGACTGCTCTGCACCCCCCATGCACCAGGGCCCTGCAGAACAAGAGGGTGTTCCTAGCTACCTTCGCTGCTGTGCTGGGCAATTTCAGCTTCGGGTATGCCCTGGTCTACACGTCTCCTGTCATCCCAGCCCTGGAGCACACCTTGGATCCAAACCTGAGTCTGACCAAAACCCAGGCATCCTGGTTCGGGGTAAGAGCCATGCTCTGAGCTGGAGAGGGGCAGGGCAGCGGGGGCAGGGACACACTGAGCTCCATCCCAAGCTAGGAACCCCCCAAAGGTCAGCCTTGGGACCCCCTCCAGGGCCCTGGTCTGCCCCCTCCCCCACCCACTCCAGGCTGGGGTGGGGGGTGGGGGAGGGTGGAGTGAGGCCAGATAATGGCTGTGAAATAAAAGGAGGAAGTGAAAGCCGATGGAGAAGGCGTGGGAAGGAGCAGGTGGAGAGGTGTCCCTTAAGGTCTCCACCCAGTGGGGCTGAGGGCTCCCCAGATCCCCCCACCCAGGGCTGGGCTGTCATAGCAGAGAGGACACCTCCCTGGATGAGGGTGGCATGAGAATCAGCTACTAATGGAAAAAGCACTGCTGGGGCACAGAGGGTCCCAGGATAGATGGTGGGCATGTAAGTAGGAAGAGCACAGGCCCCAAGAGTCCCAAGATTCTAGAATAGCAATCTTAGCGGCCTCAGATTTACAACCACAACACGTTAGCTAAGATAATAATACTCAATGCAGACTGCGCACCTAGCATGTGCGGGGCCTGTGCTGGGCACTTGCCATGAGATCCGGTTTACTCCAGAGCCAACCCTGTGAGGTGGGTGCTACCGCTGTCCCCATAATGCAGCTGAAGAAACTGAGGCTCAGACAGGCTGAGCACCGTGCCCAGGTCACTGACCGGATCCAACCTGGTACACTCGACAGGGAATCCGAGAACCCCCAAATTTTAAAATCCCAAGGGCTTCAAGTCACAGAGTTCTCCTGCCTGCTCTATCACAGTGCTAGACATTTAAACATCAGGCTGGACAGAACCACTGCAGACAGCTGTTGTGGCATCCCTAACAAACAGCTGTCCACATGCTGCTTGTACCCCTCTGGAGACAGGAGGCTCACTACCATCCAGGGCCCTAGTCCGGCAGCCCAGGCTCCTGGGACAGCCTGGAAAAGCAGCTGTCTCTAGGCTCTGACGGGGCCCTGCACCCTTTCCCTGCAGTCCGTGTTCACCTTGGGTGCGGCGGCCGGGGGCCTCAGTGCCATGGTGCTCAACGACCTCCTGGGCCGGAAGCTGAGCATCATGTTCTCGGCTGTACCCTCGGCGGCCGGCTATGCGCTCATGGCAGGTGCCCATGGCCTCTGGATGTTGCTCCTGGGGAGGACGCTGACGGGCTTCGCTGGGGGACTCACGGCTGCCTGCATCCCGGTAAGGCCAGGACTGCCCACCCCGGTCCTCTCACTGCCTCACCATCAGCTGAGGCCTCCTGGCCTCGGAGGCCCCTGGTCAACAGGGATATGTTTGCCAGGGAGCCTCAGCTCAGCCCCACCGGGGCAGCTAATTTGGGGGAAATCTGACACCAGTCCCAAGCCACCCCCAACTCTGGACTCCCCAAACTTCCTGTCCCGAGTCCTGACAGACACATTGCTCAATCAGAGAAAATCCACATTGAGCAACGCAACAAGAAAGGGAAGGGAAGTCCCTGCCCTACACCCTTCCTGGGACCCCCCCTCGTCATACCCACCATTCCACACACCCACTCGGGGGCTGGGCAAGCCCGGCATAGGACGAAGGCCCCTGGAAGGAGCAGAGGCCAGAGTCCGGGTGCCCTCGGGCCTCCCAATTCCCAGCCTCACGCCCCCACATCAGAGCTGAGTGTGTCTGCCCACTTGGCAGGGCGACTGAGGCCCGAGGGAGGCCACGCCGTGAGTCACGATGCGGAAGAGAACCGCGCCGGAAGCCCCCGCTCCCTGCTCCCCACGGCTCACCGGGCCACCTGTGCTATCTCAGCCGGGCCCCGGTACCTGTGTTCTCAGCGGAGGCCGGGGGTGGGGGGATGTGTCTTGCAGGTGTACGTGTCTGAGATTGCTCCCGCAGGCGTCCGTGGGGCCCTGGGCGCCACACCCCAGCTCATGGCAGTGTTCGGATCACTGTCTCTCTACGCCCTTGGCAAGTATCATCCACATGCGCACTAGGCGCCTCCCCTGTGTGCAGGCCGGGGGGTGATGGGGTGCCGCTGAGCAGCCTGGGTTGGGAAGGGATGAACGTGCCCCCAAATGGATTCCATGCTGGGAGGCCAGAGGCATAGCTGCCTTCATGCTGTGTGCCTCCAGGCAATTCCCTGCGCCTCTCTGGTCACGAGGTCCCACCCCTAACTGGGCAGGGAGGGCTTCTCTTGGGCTGGCAGTCTTTAAACTGTCTTTTAACAGCAGAATGTTTTCTGTCAAATAGTCTTAGGTGGGAAGACCATAGAGAAAAGTGATCAGAGTGCAGCCAGCTGAGGTGGGGTGGGGGTTTGGCGGTAGAGGCCCCAGGACCTTGCTGCTCAGGCTACTCCTCCATCACCTTGCCGTGGCCCTTGAGACCCTCCAAGGACCTAGGCCCTGTGCCAGGGGCCAGGCAGTCCCTGTGGCCCCTCTTGATTGAGACCACAGAGGCCTGGAGCAACCAGGGTAGGCTTCCTGTAGGAGGTGGCCCTGGGACTCACACCTGAGGGCAAATGAGGCTGCTCAGAGGCCCCGGTGGGAGGGGATCTGGGCCCAGCGCAGCCCCAGCTCCTCACCCGCTCCTTGTGCCCAGGCCTGCTGCTGCCGTGGCGCTGGCTGGCCGTGGCCGGGGAGGGGCCTGTGCTTGTCATGATTCTGCTGCTCTGCTTCATGCCCAACTCACCTCGCTTCCTGCTCTCGAGGGGCAGGGACTCGGAGGCGCTGCAGGCACTGGCCTGGCTGCGAGGGGCTGACACTGACATCCGCCGGGAGTTCGAGCAGATCCAGGACAACGTCCGGAGACAGGTGTGGGAGGGGTGGGCGCCTACAGCACTGTGGGGCTGTGGCCATTCACTAGGCCGTCACGAGCCTCAGTTGCTTTTCCTGGAGAACGGGGATAAGAGCAGTTCCCGCCTCTAGGAGCAAGGGGCTGGGGGGGTGGGATGTCGCGGCCCCTGGCCCAGGGCGCATGCGCCGTGCGGTGGATGCCTAGGGGCCCGGCGATACAAGCAGGCGTCTGCCTTGGCCCACCCACTGATCCAAGAGCCTGAGTCCACGCAGGGGTCCCCGGGCCTGTCCCCAGAGCCAGGGTTGCCTCAGTGCTGGGGATCTTTCCTGGAGGAGGGAAGAGGGGAGCCTCCTACCCAGCTCCATGCAGCCCAGGGCAGGTTGGTGCCAGCCGGAGGGGTGGGCACAGCCCCCTCAACGGCAGCCTCGTGTCTCCAGAGCAGCCACCTGTCGTGGGCCGAGGCCCGGGACCCCCACATATACCGCCCCATCGTCATCGCTTTGCTGATGCGCTTCCTGCAGCAACTGACGGGCATCACGCCCATCCTTGTCTACCTGCAGTCCATCTTCGACAGCACTGCCGTCCTGCTGGTAAGAGCCCGGCCCCACACCACCGGCTCTGCCCCCAGATGCGGAGAGGGGATCCCTGTGGAGCATCTGCTCCGTGCCGGGGTCTGGGGTGCACGCACACGCGCAGACACCAGCATCTCTTCACTGTTTCTGGGCCAACCACCTGTTCTCAGAGGAATATTTGTAAACAAAGCTTGCAGGTTTTAAAATAAGATAGGCAGAATTACAAGGGACACCAGTTCTATAGAAGCATAGACCCCCTGGGAGCCACTGATCCCAGGTTCAGAGCATGGCTTCATCCACCCTTCCTGGGGCTCAGAGGGAGATGAGATCTGAAGATGAGCGATAGCACGGTTCCACAAGTTGTTGTTATGCCTGGATCCGGTGCCAGCCCTGGGCTTGGTGGTGGGCACAGCAGTTGTGCCCCTGCCTGCGAGGGCCCCACGGGCCGGGCTGGGTGACCAGCGAAACCGCCTGGCACACAGCAGCTGAGCCTGGGGCCTGACCCTGCAG